TTTCATATTTAGCTATCAAGTTCATCAAAGCGAATTGCAGACACAATGGGTAATCTAATCGCACAGCGTGGCAGTAGATCTCGCCCATTTTGGCAGGTCACACCAAAACATCATGCTCTCCCGGTTGCTCACCAGTCACCGATTTGCGAGGCGTTTCTCAGTAATGTTGGGCTAATTCCTTGCTGAGGTCAATTATGGGCTTAGAGAAATGTCTACTTCCTTCGGGGGCAAATTAGTTTTCGGAAACTTATGTTTCTGATTCGTAAATGGTACATAGATAAGTTCAAATACCTCCGTATGACACACTAGAGTGATATGAGCAGAGGTGGTGAAATTTTACAGACTAACTTGTCAAAATGGTGCAATCATGTCTCCTCTCCTGAAAGCAAATAACCAAAGTTCTGAGCTGGAGGTTACATTTTATTGTGTTAAACGTTCGGATCTATGGACTTACATCATTATTGCGTAATCGGGTCTCGCAGCAAAGCGAAAGTAGTGCGCGTCCGGCCGGTCTCGATGGCGTACTACCGAACAATGAGAACATTTTGAAAAAGAAAACCTTCAGACATCAGTAATCTGAATACTTAGTCTTTGAACTAAATACCTGAAATTGCAAAGACTGCAACAACGGCAACAGTAGGACAGATATCTCGGTGATCCCCGTGATAACATCAAAGCTGAAGTTACACTGACCCAATAAAAGCAACTGGTAGTTGTGCTGACTGCCTTATGTTGAAAAACGCGAGCATCTAGCTATTAATATATCTAGAAGCATTATACTTCCTTATTTTAACCAGAACCAACGTGGCCTTACATAGTTTGGAATAAAACTCTATGTATATTGTACGGCAGTAACGACACAAGAAAGTGAACAGAAATCTTTAAATTTGCATTTTGCACAATGTGCTGATTTGTGTCACGCACAACTTTCTCAAGCGAATTGCAATCATTAAGCATTCGCATCAGAAAACATTGCTGAAGTCTTTCAAACTCTGAGCATTACAACATGAGGAAACCATGCAATAATTTACATTGGCAGGTCAAAACTTGCCACTCATTTTTCGGATGATTTTCCCGAAGCAGTGATAAAGTAATCTCCTGATAGTAGGAATTTTCAGGTATATACGATTAATAACAGACGTTTTAAACCGCACTGGATGGGTATTAGTCTCGTAGCTCTAAACTGCCATACCGTTACTGTCCTGGCATACATAATATAAATCAGGACGTCATTTTCTGAAGGGCGGAGATATTTTTACTTGAAACCGATAACATGTTAAAAAATCTGATTAGAATAATTAAGTATTTGCGACTACAGGTAATTGTGATTCACATATGAGTGATTTGAAAGGCTGTTTATAAGAAGTTATGCTTGCTAATATATCGCGCAATCAGAGGACACAATATTCAGAAGATTTCACTCATCTGTCCGGCTCATTGATAAGGCTACGCCATGAAATATTCAAGAACATTTTAAACTTTAAAATCTTGGTGGAGTAACTAGCTCAAAGTGATAAACAATAATGCTCTGTTAGATTTTCAATGATTCATCTGTGTTCAACACCGCAAATATCTAATCTTATCACAAAAAATGCAATTAAATTTTGGATAAAACCCTACAGCTTATCGAGTGAGGCTTTACTCAAAATTTTACAATTGATCTTTGTCTGATCTTTGAATCTGAGGCCACTATATAATGAAAAGCAGTTGCGCTTTGTCGTTCGAATCGTTCAAAAATGCCTCTGTTTAAAGATTAATCCGTATTTTTGAACAAACTTCGTATTCAGGCACATATTTGGGCTTCTGATCCATTTGAAATACTTTGAATTTATGGTTTCGCTTCTTGCCTAACAAATAATATATGCAAGCCACTGCACCGTAATTGCCAACTGATCGTCAAGTTATATAAATAAAGATATGTTAGTGTTTTTCATCGGCATATGAAACTAGCAAAAAAAGCAGCTGAGCGACACAAATTTATTCTGCCTGAACATTCGAAAAGATTTATGAGACTGATATCAGACAAAATTCAATGCTACAGCAAACGTCATTTTCTTTTCTTTAGACAAAAAGTCTGCCTCAACGAAGTTTCCCATGATTTGTATTAATTTCCAAAGCGTCTGTTGCCAGTGCGAGATTTTGAAAATATTTCTATTCTTTTTGCGCTGTTTTATCAAGCCAAGCTATTCGCTAGTCCACGACAGCATACCTTTAAAGGAAGAAACATGATCACTACGTATGTGGCAATTTCCAGAATGCTAATATTTGCATCCGCTCTTAGGGCCCGACCCTGTCATATGTCATGCAGTTTGATTAAACTAGCTGATGCCCTCTAATGTCAATAAATTTCAGGTTCAGCATTTTATAGGTCCCGTAGGGGGACAGGATTAACTTCTGATACAGCACTTGCCATTGCTCGGAATGCAATTTCCACTGACTGTGTACATAAGTTATGATAACGGTAAATAACCATCACCCAAACAAAGAATAAGTTAGAGTAAGGTAGCCTGTACTTTCTAGCTAACACTTATCTGTCAGATTGACTGCGCGATATTTCATGTTTAAACTTTACTTCATTTTAAATTTTCCTACAGATTCAGTTTTGTTGACTGCGTTGAACTATTTCTGAGTTATTTCAGCTTATGGTATGAGGAGTGATACGCTACAAGATAGTGGCAGCAGAATTTACCGGTTGAAACACGGGATTTCAAGAAATTGTGGAGATTTTTCTGATAGTCAAATAGAGTTAAATTCCTTCATATCGTCCCACAGTTAATCGTGGATTCCGGAACAACGTGGATCTATCACTTTCTCAATAACATTTTATTTCTCTCTCTACAAAGAACCCTGTCGCATATAATACCATGATCCTCTCAGCAGCAGCGCTACCCGAAGCGACCATTCTGCTTATGCCAATATCAGGTCGTGAATCGCAATAGAGGACAGAACAGCTATATGTTCCACACATTGTGTCAAGATCATGTTAGTCACTTAGCAGAAGGATGAGATGAGCACGCTACAGACTTCTAAAAATAGACTATTTGAAACTCTAATTCAAGTAATATAGAATAAATTTAAACTAAATTGAATTATCAGTATTGAGGCACTTTGCAACAAAATTTGAAATGCAGCATACAGTCTGCCGGTTGATAATTATTTTTCATAAAAATTCTTTAAGCACCGCTGGGTGCCTATTCCGTCGGTGCATTTCAGGATCCTGAAATCTGCTTTACAACGAAGCTTTACTGCCTGTCTACCCAGTGCAATGCTGTGTACATAAACGAAGGTCAGTTTGCAATACATCATGTGAGAATGACAAGCACGTGTCATGCAGCTCGGCTGATAATGCAATTCGCACCCGTTTCTTGTGTATAAGAACCATTAAACTAACCACGTGTTTGCGTTTTGGCAATTCTATATAAGGAGGTGAAGAACATGAATGGGGAGACAGATTTTGACCAGATCGAAGTTCAGGAATATGTTAGGCCGTGACAAACCACTGCAGGTTTCAAAATGCGCGAATTTTCAATTATCGAAGCCCTTTGCGAGCTTTCCTTCAAAGGTGAACGAAGTTTCAATTATTTTCTCTGAGTTCAATCTTAAAATTTAGTTTTAATTTCCAATGTTTAACATCCATCCTTATATCTAATTTTCACTTTTCTTAATCTTGTTTTCTCTACCCAATTTATTAGCACTTTATGTTTTTCTACATTTATGTTTCTTTGCATTTAAATATTTGCTTGGTTTTCGTGTACCATTTCATTCGAACGCTTCAATATTATGCATTATACTATCTGCTGGTCTTGAATTGCATTGGTCAGTGCATGCATTTTAAAGTCTTTTGTGCCATGAACAATGCAGCATCAGGAACAAAATGCACTGTGCTATTCAGCAAGGAGTGGAAAGTTTGTAACCCTCGGAATAACAATTTTTTTTGCTTTGATGATGGAAACATCTTTGGTGCCAATCTTTTCATGTTTCTAATGCCGAGGTAATGCTCTCCATTCCCAAGTCGAGAGCGCCTTATTTTAGAAGTGGATAGCAGCTTTCTGGCAACTACAATGCGTAGTTCCCTGATTCCTTCTAACAGAGTGATATTCACTTATCAACTTTAACAGAAATAAAAGCAAGTAATTTGACTGGGTATCGAACCTAGAACCTCTTGGTTCTAAGACCGCTGTTCCACTAACTGATCAACCTCCTTTCACATCAAGAAAAGATTTCATCCAGGCTTCAAACTTTTTCTTTTACTGATTTATATCCGTAACAGCCTCAAAATCTCGTTTAGTACAGAACTCTGACACACTGCTTAAAAGGCAAAAGAATAGCAGAATGATCCAAAACTTCATAAGAAAACTTGTACTCATTCTTTCAAAACAATTTTAAGTTTTCAGAAGATCATGGAAACACATTACTGAACTACCGAACAAAATACTGTAAGCTAAATAAGTTGACTTCCAAGAAATTTTAAAAAAATACTTTGTGTATCAGAGGACACGAGTCCAGTTAACTTCGAGACATTATCATTACACCACATTAGTTCTGATGTAACAATCGAAAGTTAATATTAGGTCCTGAATGAATGAACTTTTAAGTTCATATTTGTAGCATGCATATGTTCTTGCTTGTTCCCACACACTCGATACGCACCATATCGATTTTAATTCGTAGTTGTTATCAATAATTATTGCGCTATCATTACAAGAACTAGCATATTTTTGCAGTGCAATAAAATTAGCAGTATTACAACACTTACCAGCAATCTGCATTTTGAACATGGATGTATGATTCGTCATTGAAACAGGTACTTACAAAAGCATGAAAACTACATTTTTCTCGAATAGGTAAAACACGCCCTATCTGTAGCCTTAGGCTTACCCGTAATTGTCAGAACCGTGTGCACTTGAGACAGCTGAATGAATTAACATATACATCCTGCATCGAACGGATTCATTCGACGTCTTGGGCCACGAACGTCTGCATTTGATGAGAATCTGGTGATGGCAAAGTCGTGGCAGGTCTTCGTGACGGTCCCCTTGTTGTCGTTGGCGATCGGAATGCTGTTGGGCGCGGTTCTTCGAGATGATTGGCACGTCCGTTGGTGGAGCTGTTCACCCACAGAAAACAGCACGGCCGACCTGAACAATGATTTTGGCAAAGCTGCACAACGCACACTTCCAAGGAACAACTCCACTGCCTCGTTCCTGATCCAGCAATGTACCGAACAGTCGCTGTTGTTCAACAGTTGGTGGCAGCTTCAGACGGTAAAACCATGTCGTTAATGTGAACCATTGCAGTATGGAACACGAAGAAAAACACCGTACATCATGTGTCCCTACCGCTGTTCCTGATCACAATGGTCAGCATGTCGTTTTCTATCCTGTTCGGCGTCTTCGCCATAGCCTGCTCCGTAGTCACTCGTCTCCGTTCGGTGTTTCTTATGGACAAATGGTCCTGTCAACAGTTCGCGTGCATCCTCTTTTCAGGTAAGCATGCATTTTTATTACTTATCGCAATGCGCCAGGACCGCAACTTCTGAGTGCTCAATTATACCTCATCCGATCAGGTTCCGTTCAGAAGACTGGTCTAATCAAAGTTGTTATAAATGGTCATTTTGCATACATCTTCTGTGATGTTCATTGTATCATTTCCTCATTGATGTCCTTTCTGCAAACTTCCTGAAAAGTTGGTACTTACCATCTGACTTGACTTGACTTTCCACCAGCCTGCTCGTAATCACTTTTCATAATTCACGACTTTCAAATTTCGTGAGTTGTTAAAGTACACTTTGTACGACGGCACAGCCTTACACGTTTAAACCGGATATAATAAGCTGTCCTGTACGCACCTGACTAACTTGTATACGGAACTACAAATAGATAAATTAGCTTATCGTTTTTTTTCATTCATCGATCAATGGCTTGAAAGAACAGAGTTAATCCTGAAACGAGTTTCATATTTCGGTTTACAAAGAAAATCACGCAGCGGAGAATATGTGAAATAATGCGAAACTCTGCCAAGATCAGATTTCATGGCGTATTGCACTGCCACCTTCTGCTGATAGTTGCCAACGGGGTCGGGGGGGGGGGATGGATGGACATTTAAGCAGGCCAAGACTGCACGGCATTTGAGCATCTGCATTGCCAGATATAACTTGCATCATTTAGTGTGCTGCAGCCACCCAAAACGTGCCAAATTGCGCATAACTCTTGCAAATGAACCATATTTCATAAGGTAAATATGACGAGTTAAGCTTAATAATCATTCAAATAACACTTAAAAAAACAAAACCTTGGATCGCATCCTGACCTGCCCAAACATCTGAAAGATGTGGCAAACGAAGCTAAGGAGGTGGGCTCAACTTGTTTCACAAACTCTACTGCGCATCTCTCAAAACTAGCTACGTCACTCTGAATTATAACCCTGACGCCAACAGAGCAATACTGTTCGCCGACGAGGACGAAGCAGCCAGTCACACAGGACCCGTCGACCAGATACCTTATTTTCATCAGCACTCCACACTACTCTGTTGACTGCAGGTGCTGTCGATTGTCGCATCACCACGTCACAGACGAAAATCGCGTTATTTTCTGAATACGGAAAGACGAAGGAAAATCAGCAATTCACCATTAACAAAGAGTGAAAATCTTCCTACTCTCTGGCTGAGGACCCACAGAATCTGCTGAACAAATGAGGAACTGGATCTCCAAGAAATGTCAAGGTAATAGCCATGGAAAAACGAATGGACGGTGTTCTGTTTGTCAAATAAGGACCTTGTTTTTGACCCGCCTGCCGAACAATGTGAATTCCAGCTTTCCAGTAAAATATGAAAGATGTGAAACCGCGTTTGCATAATATGGCTACCTATTCCACTAGTAAATGATCAAAGAATCTCCAGTTTGCGACTGTGGTCACTTTAACAGACAGTTAGGAACATTATTATCACTAAAAGTACAAAACGGTCACAAAAAGGAAACATCCTGTCCATCCATGTGATCCTACCGCGGGTTTGATATCCCACTGGACATAGACATCTACTCGACAGCAACTCGCAAGTGATGCTGTCCAAATATCACATGAATAAAAATGAAGAAATAACGCCACCTTCTGTAATAACGACAAGATGTGCAAGTTAATTAGCGGTATCAAATCGAAATTTGCAGATTGTGAATAGCCAGGCCACGAAGAGCATTACTTTACCAGTTTCCTAATGCACTGAAGGAATCAAATCTTCAAACGGACTTCCCGCCTGCTTAACTCGCTGCATTCGTCATTGCTCCATACGCAGAAAACGAATACACAATACATAACCTGCATAAAAGAGGTGTCCCAATATATACACACACAATGATCACAGAATCTTTATAGAATGCCGTCTTTTTCATGCTTTTGTTACATGTCTTAGTTCTTTAGAGATTACCTAGCTAGCGTCCTGCGGTATCATCGTGATGCGAACGCTTGGGTGGTGTCCCGTTAAGATCGGTGTAAGGTCACTGTGGATCCGTCGTTACACCAATATAACTCGTCAGTCATTTCTACACCAAATGATCCATCCGCTTAAATGAGAGCAGCAGCTGTTTACAAAATGTTTTTGCCACCATTCTTCAAGAATTAATGCCGTCAGTTGCCCATAATTGTCTATAGTCATTGTCATCCTCCCAGAAAGTTCCAGTCTCCAACAAAGTTGAAGAAATAAGCAAGTATCCGTAACCATTAAAGCCGTCGTTAGCCAACCGTTTCTGCATTCTTGCAAACCTTCACTGCTACTGTGGTGGTCGGAGGATATTCATTCGATCGTACTTCACCTTGACACGAAATTTCGTAGGAGGGCTAATGATCGAGAACTGACATGGGCATGAAACGATCAGATACTCATGCAGTACTCAAAGCAAACAAGTGATGATTTCGTTCACTAAAATATCATTTTTTCAGGTTTCTTCTTATTCGGTTCGTACGTTCTGTACGGCGTTCATTTTCGGCAGCATCTGGTTGAACAACCGCAATTCAACAATACGTGTTACAGTACCCTTATCAGGTCAGCCATCACACAGTTTATCACATTTAAACCTAAAAGTTATTATGAAATATGATGCGTTATATTTGCAACATCGTGCTAGTTAAAGTCTACGCCACTATGAATTCTCTAATGCAGTGCTGCTTTCATTTAGTACTTATGAAATGGCCTACTTACAGTGCAATAAAATTACACAGAGAGAGGATATGGGTTGGGTTAATATCGTTAACTTGATTTTAACCAACAGTATCGAGAAGCACTGATCATTTCTACAATACAATTTCCGCTAGCTCATTAGATCACGACAATTTATCATTACAGTTCTACTACCACTTCTGCCCGTAAAGTTGGGAGTAATAATAATTTTAGAATTAGCCATCGTCGGCAAGCGATTAAGATCTCAGGAAATACTTTGCACATTTCTTTTATAGATGGTTGTCATTCTTATTTGATGTAGTTGTGACAGTAACACTACAAGTAATTAGTACTAGCTACAGTGCAACTAAGAGAATGAAGGTTCAGCGACAAACGAACGTACGATACTTTTATTTCTGAGATTATCGTTCCCATTCTTGATTGTAATAGCACCAGTACCATCTGCAGTAGCAACATTGTACTAATAATAGTTCCACTAGATTGACAAATTCTAGTAGAAAATAACAACTACGGAACTGTCAGTACTTTCCTGTAGTCATAAGCATTGCCAGATTTTATTCATAACCATGGCAGTGATACAAGTTGAATTTGTATTAATTTTCTCAATACTGCTACTCTTACGGAAATTG